CTCGGCCAGTGCCGCCTCCTAGGCTGGCGTCCCCTTTTCTTTGGTATTAAAATTGTTTACTGCGAGCCTCGGTTCTCCCGTGTGTGTATATATATGTAAAAATGTTACATAAATACGGAATTACACTGCAGCGTTAATGCACTGTTGAGCTCAGCAATGAAAGAAAGCATTGTACTCACCTCATTCCAGGAGATAAGTTACTGTAACAACCTCTTCAATGAAAACAAAACAGACTTCCTTTTTTCTCTTCTGTTAGGTGCAGACATTGCTTCAGCAAATGCAGGACAAATTTCAAACCATGTCTGACCAAATAATTGGAAGAAATATCCTTTTTTAAAGTCAGATAGGTGCTGTACGCTAGAGATGCACGGCTATTTTTATGTATATTTACCAGCGGGATTTGGAAGATAATGTGACCGTAAGCGTTTGTGCAAAGCTGTAGTAAGAAACCCAAAACAACAATAACAAAAAAAAAAAAATTTTAACAAGTAACCCACCTACTGCTAGACTGTAGTCAGAGTCCTTAACTCCAGCGAACTTGATGACATGAGCTGTCGCATAGATGATCTGGAGAAGAACATAGCAGACCTCATGACGCAAGCGGGAGTGGAAGAATTGGAAGGCGAGAACAAGACCCCTGCTCCTAACAAGAGTTAAAGTGAGACAATTGCTTGCTAGCCTTGAAACAAATCCTTGGGTGACTGGAAATTACTGACTTTAATGTAGATGGGGTTTTTCCTTTGATTCGTGAGGTAGTCTGACATGAATTCAGAGCAGCTCTGTACATTATAATACAGGAAGTTTTAAGAAGCTTGCCTCAGCAGGCTCCTACTAGCCTCTGCAGCAAGGATATTTTCTTTGCCAGTATTGGCAGGAGAGTTATTTGCTTCATGTCTCATTGGTTTTGAGGAAGTGCAGTAGCTGTACTCATCCTTTGTTACTCACTCACTCTGGTACTCTTAGTAAGATCTGAAATAATTGCTGTCTTTGCAGCATGAGAAGGAGAGGAGATGGGGAAAAACTATCAGTAGCAAAGCGAACTGTTCTCTTCTGATCATATTTGAGCCTTCCGAAAAGGACCATAATCTCATGCATGTTACTGGTGTCCGCTCCGGTTTCCATAGCTGGAAAGGTAGCGCGAGTGCGGTGCTACTCTTCCATCTTCCGCTGCATCCTGTAGACTTCAGCTCACCTGGAGCTCCTAAGGACTGGAGACTGGCTGCTGTGCAGGGGGGCTGGTGAACGCATTACTGTCAGTCAGCTCTGCATCCCGCCTGTGTGGGTTAGGAGCTTGCTGGGGTACACGGCTCGCACGTCCCACAGCAGAGCAGCAGCTCCTGACTCGGACAGTGTAAGACAACACTCAGACATGAGGCGAGCGATAGTCTAGGGTGATGCTCCCTGGAAAAAGAAATTTGTTATTGAAAGATAAATGTGACATGCTATCTATTCTTTGTAAGTAATTTCTTAATTGCTAGCCTGCCCCTTTATTACACAAGAACACTGGAGAAGTAGATGTTTCATTTACTTGGCAGGCAGAAGTTCAAAGTCTGGTACAAAAACATGTAAATAAATTTAAGCAATCATGTAGCACCGCACACAGCATTTACAACAATTGCTAAAGGCATTTCAGAGGATGGGGGCAGTGCAAGAGTGCCAAAACTGCTAGAGCATAAACAAGGGAGGGGGTGGGGGTGGTCCTTAATTACAATATATGAGCACTAAGATTTCACTCTAGTTTGTACAGAATTTGATTTTTGTAATCTGTGGAAGGCAACTGGTAAATGAACTACTAGATGTATCATGTTAGATTATTATTATTTTCTTTAAGCTGGCTAAGACAGACATGTCTCAGCCTCTCTTAGGCTTCAAATTCTGAGGTCACGTCTAGAATACTGTGCAGCCCGCATAATAGACATGTGTATTTGAAACAGGTATACGTCTTCCTTTTAAGGTACCTATTCTTTGTGACACTTTGACAGAAATACAAATTGTTATGGGATCCACTGCCCCCAGTGCCAGTTCCCTTAGGCTGAACCCTGCAAATGAAAATTTCTGATAAGCATGATTCTCTTAATTCTTCTCAATAATACATTTTTTTATTATTTTTCCCCAACAGGTTGCCAATAACTTGAAACCTTCCTTTTTTTGTTTTTCTACAAATCCTTGGAATTACAGAACAGCTTTTTGCAACTGCTGTGTGTAAAAGCATTTTTATATTGTTACAGAGCTTGCATTCCTAATGTATATTGTATAGTTAGGGATAGGTTAGTTTATATTTTGATTTGTGTACTGTAATTTCACTTTTTGAATTCTTGTTATGAGGATCAATTAGTTATGTTATTAAAACACTGATCTTACGGATCTCAACTACTAGCTGTATTTTTTTGTGAAGTCACTTTTTTCTCTTTCTTACACTTTTTCTAGACGTTTCATTTTTGATAGCTAAACATCTAGTGACTCCCATCAAATAGAAATCTTGTCCTACGTAATTTTGTGGAGTGAAGCACAAGAATTGAAACTCAGCATTAATCTTAGCTCTAAGTCTCAGTCACTCAACTAGTTGAGGACTATGTGTTGTTTTCTCATAAAGTAATAAGGTGATTTTGGAAACATAAGACACTGAACATCAAAATCATATCTTGTACTCCTGGTATTACCTTACCTGTGTGTTCCTGGGACATAAACCAGAAACAGAGATTTAACATTAGAGACGCCTGCAAACGGTTGAGCGACCACTGCCATTCAGATATGTTACATTTAGACAAATATGAAACTATTAACTATGAAAAATGTCACTATGAGATTTCAGTTTTTTAACACTTTAAAACTCTGCTTTGGAACTGATGATGTGTCGTTATGATTATGATTGTTAATAATTATGATTAAAATAGTGATACCAGATAGAACAGGGGTGGGATTGCGGGAGTGTCTGTATGTGGTCTTTTGGTTTAAATCACTGGCTCGTTGTACAAAACAGTTTGCTAACAAAGCAATGATACACTGCGTAACAAAAAAGGAGAGAATCCAGTTAGAATTGTAAAGCCACGCCTCTCTTTGAATAACAACTAGCCAGAACTCTTCAAACTATTTGATTTAGAAAGGTGTTTGCTTTTATAATCATATCCACATTTATGGGCCTGGAGTTTAATGGGTTACATTAGAGTATTTTGGCAATGAAAAGTGTCTTTAGAAGAGTCTCTACCTTGTCCCTTGTGAAGAAAAATGACCCATGTCGGATATTATGGACAATCATGGCAATGCTTCTCCAGCTTGAAATACAAATTTAAGAAAGCACTAGTGGCAGCCAGCAGTTCTATGTGGACCACACTTATGACTGCTCTTCAGACGCCACCAAATTAGCACCTGCGTATTATGAAGGCAATATGACAGGTCATTTTTCAAAATTGAGGGGAAGTTGCAATAAAAGCTCATAGTAATAGGGGAATTTTGTGAACATAGGAAATGTATGAATATACCTTGTAATACCAGTCTTAGGCTCTTTGTAATGTCATTTAAAAAATTCTAATAAACTATTATGTGGTAACAAATAGTCAGGTCATATATATTAAAGCAAAATCTAGCACAAGTATATCATTACATGTGAGTTTGTATTTAGTTATAAGTTATAGAAAGACTTTAGCACAGCTGCTGCTTATAGAATGTAGTCTAAAAAACAGGTGTGTTCTGTATAATATGAAAGGGTGAGCATGACTGACGCCCTGTGAAATCGGGTTTACTAGGTAATTACCCTATAGACCAAATTCATAGGAAAGCATATTGAAGTGGAGGATCATTTTGTATGATGTTTATACAACTATAAATTCTCATCTGGCCTTCTTCCTGTGGGAGAAAGGGCCATTCTTGAATTGGCGTGCACTATCCTGTGTACAGCTGTAGCAGGCCTGCTGTCCGGAAGTTTAGTGTGTCAGAATAACTTACTGGACAATTACTTCAGCTTTAAGAAGAAGCTAGATTCTGCAAGTCATTGGAAAGATTCTTGTTACTTTTCAGTAGGGATAGTTTTCCATCATAAATTTAACACTTAACTGATTTTGAAAAGTAATTAAATTCAAGACAAGCCTTTCAGACAGGAAGGTGTTACTTGTAGATCTTTAAATACTGCATATTTTTGAGAAACAACTTTTATTCTTACTCAGAACCAGTGATAGAGCGACTACGTATGAACAGCACATGCGAGCCAACGTACAATCCCTTTTGGCCACATTTTCTTGAAGTGCAGTTAGTTTAATAGACAAAGCAAAGCAGCAGAGGATGACTGTTCTTAAGTGTTACTTCATACGGATTTGATAACACTTTGCAAAATAATAGTGTTTTGGTTTTTTTTCCTGAATATGCTGGCTGACACCTTGACAAATATTTGTCCTTTTCACTGGGCTGCCTGACTTGCAAAGAACAGGATCAAGCTTTTTAATAGGCACTGTCTTCCTGATTAGAATATGAAGAAAGCTGTTTCATGTATTCATTTAAATCCACCTATGTGCTGTGCTCTGTTCAGGACTGTTGCCTGAGACTGCAGCTTGCATTTTTTAGGTACTTATCTATATGCTAAACTCTATATAAGCACTTTCTACTTTAAGAGAAATTTTCTGCTACCTGTCATCACGGTAGCATACACTTGGATTTTATCATTGATGTGTTTACCTCCTACAGTTTATTTTCACGAACAGTTACAGATTAAGTGCACCCTATTCTGATTTCCTTGTACAAGCAGGCGCGGTGGGTGCTGCGTTTTCCAGTTTGCTGTTCCAAGCTGGTGTACCTTTGAGCAGACCTGCTGTAGTTTGCAGGCGCAGCAGACCCATGCTCTGGCAGCAAAACTGCCTGCTCTGCCCATGTGGCTGAGCGTGGGTCTCTGCTCACACCCGCCTCCTGCCTACCTGCAAGAGGGAGAAGGGTGTCTGGTACAACGGGTGCCAGGAGGAACTTGTTGCTTCCTTCATTGTTTCCCGTCCTAGCCCAAGCAGCAAGTAAGGGGATAGCAAAGCTATTTTTCATAGCATGAGGTATGGAATTATAAAGAACAAAGAGAGTCTATGGGTCCTGCATTTCTGGGGAAAAGGAAGAATGGCTAAGGATGGAGGCTGAACCCCCTCTGCTCCTGAGTTCCTCAAGCTCTCCATTGCCTCCACTCCTCATCACTTCTACTGCAGATTTCCATTACCACCATCCTCTTCAGGGCCTGCTCCTCTTCCACTCTGACTCCTCAGAGCTCAGTTTCCGCTGTTCCTGAGGATAAAGCCATCGTTCGCAAACTGCCTCCATGTAACTACTAAGTACAGAAGCTATTTCACAAAAGGTCTACATTAGGAACAGCAAATAGAAACTCCTGTCTCATCTCTTCTGGTGTCTTAATTCCTATCTTATAGCAGGAGTGATACTCTCTCAGTACAGGGGAACAGTGTTATAATAAATCCATGTTTTGAAACACTTAGGCCCACTGATAAGTGATCCAGAATTATGGTATCCTTAAGAGGATTTTTCATTTAATCTCGGCCCTAAAGGCAATGTACGGTAAATAAGACTGCACACAGATAGCTCTTCAACTAACACCATCTGGTCTGTGCACTAAATGAAGCTGGTTATTGGCCAGAGACACACGCTAAACTCTGACACTTGCTGTCTGCAAGAGCTAG